TGTGGATTTAGAGAAATTCCAGGTTGGACTCCTAGCCCTAACACTTACTGACCGTGTGGCTTTAGGTAAGTCACCCAACCGCTCTATCTATCCCCTTATCTCTGAAATACGATTACTCATACCCACTCCACTGGGTTGGGCTGAAGTAAAACCCTTAGCACAGCATCTGGGGCAGAATGAGGGCACAAAAAAAAAAACATAGAAATCATTATCAGCAACTAAGGGGGATGCGTACCTCGCTCCCACTCTTCCCCTCCTGAAAAGCAGGTTGATCTTATCAGTGGGGGAAGACCTTTAGCACTTGAAGCATCTCTGGGGAGCAAGGTCGGATTTTTGTCGGGTTTTCTGGATCAGGAAAGGAAAAAAAGGAAAAGGGAGGCAGGGTCAGCATTAAGAAAGGTCCTTCTCTAGCCAGGGAGAAATGACCCTCTTAGGTGAGAAGGAGGGAGTATAACCAATACAAATAGTCTCCTCTCAAGACACCTTATGCCCGTAAAGCTTTAAGGATGACCACTACCCGCCACGCTATAGGCCAGCAGGCCAGAACCTCCTTGAGAGGGGACTAAGCTGCTCATATTTCTTAGGAAAGTGAGACTTAAAAGATAGAAAAATTTGGGGACAGCAGGTGGCACAGTGGTTAAGGCGCTGAACTCCCATATGGCCAACTGCAGTTCAAGTCCTAGACTGAGACTGAAACTCACACTGGGTGTGTGCATGTGAGCACCCAAAAATCCCAAGAGCAGAAAGGAGGAGGCGGGATTGTGCTGTAACCCTACCCCCAGGGGTGGGGGGCGGTGGTGATTTCTCATTTTCTCCACCTCTCCAGCGCATAAGTGCCCTCTAGCAAAAAATTTAGAAAACTAAATAAACAAATAAAAAGAAGAAGAGAGAAAAAGTTCTGCATCACTTAATGAATTAGATTCATCGAAGAGTGTGTCCCAAGAATGAATTTTGGTAGGGACTTCTGACAGAGAGAATGGGGAAGAACTGCCTAGCACAGACCCATGTTAAGAATTTCAAGAACATCTCCATAAATTTTGTCTCATAGCTACAGGGAACCGGGCAAGACGAAAGAACACAAGCTGGGGAACTGTGCTTGGAGTGTTCCTGTTTCACTGCGAATAAGCCCAGACAGTGCTGCCTGCCTCACAGTTGTGGGAAGATCACAGGAGAGAACGGAAATGGAAGGGCGCTGAACATTCCATGCACGCGTTATCATCATCAACTCGATGCCATCGCGTTGGTGCATAAAGAGTCCCTTGTGACTCCCATGTTCATATCAGCCTTGACCTCCCCCGCAAGGTTCCTCATTCAAGCAGAGCTGCCCTGAGGACTGGCTAATCCCAGAACACCACTGAGGGTCACCCTGCAGGAGTTCAATGTTGGAACAATATCATCAATTTCAAGGCAGGGCATGAACAGCCAGGAAGATGCATTCGCTCTGTCTACATCAGCTTCTCAACCCTCCGCGGGATCAGTCCTCGTTACAGGCGCTGGCCTGGGCATGGAAGATGGTTAGCAGCATCTCTGACCTCTCCTCACTTAATGTGAGTTCAACTACCCATTTCTATCATGTCTAAAGATGTCTCTAGAGATTGCAAAGTAGGGACAGAGAGTTTGCAAAATCATCCCTTCCCCAATCCATTGAAAACCACTACTCTACATAAAGAAATAAAACATGAAACGGGGGCCAGATGGTGGCACAACAATAATGTAACTGGATCTACGTGGAAAGGTCCCTGGTTCGAGTCCTGGAGCCTCCTGGTACACAACTGGACACAAACCACCATGCTGAGGCTGTAGGTCATAGCAGGAAGACTCTCTTGGAGGTGTCTGCCTTTCAAGGAAAAAACCTTAAAAAGTAAACGAACATAAAACATATCAGGGAAGAGATGTCTGTTATCTAGCGTTTTGCTGCTGCAAAAAGCCAGGTGCCAGAGGGGTACCATAGAAAAGGAAGCTTCTGGTAGTTGAGGGGCATCAGTGTGACACCTCTCATCTTCCAGCTAGAAGACTGTCACCTTCACAGCAGTCACGTTGGTGAAGCAAGGGGATGGGGCGAAAGACTCATCTCAGACCAGAAGGTGCTGCCCTGTGACATCACTAGGGCCTGCCCATGAACTCTCTTAGAGCAGTCTCTCCTCTCAAGGAGCCTAATTTTATTGATAAGCTATCTCAAAACTTCCCGTGAACAAAGGGAACCTCTCACTGTAAAGAAATGCAAGTCAGCCAAGGGTTTAACAGTGGCCACAAAATCTGACCTTTTTCCATTTTCCAGAGCAAAATCTGGACCACAAAAAAAAAACAAAAAAAACTTTACATGAATGTGTATGGACCCACAAGAAACTCAACCCATCAAGGCTTTTGATTTTTTTTTTTCCCCTCTCATGATCTGTAATCCTGGGAAAGCAGAAAAGCAAAATTACATTACTAAAGTACGTGTGAAAAGAATCTTGGTTTTGTTCTAGCCATTTCCAGACAGCTAAAGGAAAAGGGGCGATATTGGACGTGGTAACATCTGTCCTTGCCAGGCCTCAGCTAACCTCCAGTCCTTGAGGGAGAAGCAAAGGGGGTAAACACTGCTTGGAAGCTTACCAGAGTTGAAGACGATGCCAGAAATTTTCCAAGCAGGGCCACTCCTTTTTCTCCTCTCATCCCAAAAGTCTATCTATTGCCTTTACAGCATCTTTTAGACCAAATAAACCAGGAGCTATGTAGTCAGTAACTACGTTTCTGGACAAATAAAAATTAACACAAAGGGGAGGAGAGAGACTACCAACATATACTATAGCCTTCTCGCTTTTGATTGCCCCACTGAGGCACATAAATGCCTGTCACTTGCTAGTCAGACACTCCTCTCCCGGGACAGTGCAGTCAGGAATCTACTGGAAGTTGAGAGGCCCGGTGGTCTGGTCGTTCCCAAACACCCTCTGGAAGCCAGAGTCCAGGTCAAGTAAAAGCACATGGCTCCTCCGGGCCTGACAAAGCCACACCGTCAGGGAGCAGGTGTAGCCTGCCAAAAGCAAACACAAACTTGCTTCAAACAACAACCATCAGTTAACACCCACAACCTGTCAACACCAATTAGCCTGCCCTACCAGCAGGAGCCCATTAAGACCAATGCTCAAATCTAGCCAGGTCCTCCACCACTGGAAACTGTCACCCCTTCTTCTTCTGCCTCCTAAGGAAGTCACCTTCAAGGGAAACCCTCTGCAGAGCTGAAGCCAACTTCTCCATGCACCTGACAGGCACCCAGCCTTAGGCTCCTGTACTCTTGGGGGCCCACTCTGGGCCGTACTGCAACTTTCCTGAGCCAGAGAATTTTTGCTTCGATGTGCCCCGTCCTCAATAACAACAGTCACATTAAAATGTATCTTAGCAGTTAAGTGCTTTGGTACCTTATTTTTGTCAAGGTTTTAGGCAAAATTTCACAAGTTTCTGTGGGGCTGAAAAGGAGAACATTTCCTTTGAACTATTTATTCTGTATCCTTTGATTTTAAACGAAATTAAATATTTGCTCAGACCCTTCAAAATATGGGCCCCAGTCACTGTGCCGACTGTATCTAACAAGAAAGTATGCCCAGATTCAGGAGACAGTTACAATTTTTGAAAAATGCTGTTACCCCTGACTTAGTCATCCAACCAAACACAACTGTGGCCTTTTTCAGAGGTCACTGAATTGGTAACACAAGGTACCTGGCAGTTATAGAAACAAGGGGACTTCAAAAAGTTTGTGAAAAAAGGAAGTAAAGTATGAGTTTATTATGGCCCAAAACATTTTTGAAGGCTAGCCCACGGCATGGTGGTTAAAGTGGCTGGATCCCACATAGCTGAGTGGTTTGCATCCCAGACCCAATGGCTTGAAAAACACATCAGGCGGGTGTACTGGACTTGCCCAAAATCCCAAGAGGAGGGAGAAGTGGAGAAGGAATTGCAGCATGACCATCCCCTATGGGGGCTGGGGGAGGTGCCTTTTTTCTCTCTCTGCCAATTAAAAAATCAATTTGAAATCTATGTATAGTTTTTTCATCATACACACGGTCCATGAACTTTGTGAAGACCCCTTGTAAAGTTCAAGTTGTCACATAAATGATTCCTTACACAAGAGGCTTAAATAAAGTCATCACACAAGATAAGATTTTCTTCAATATTTTATTTATATAGAAATACTTAAAAAATGAAGTAGCACCATTACTTAAGTTTTACCTTTATTATGTAGAACTTTAAATGTCAGAAAAATAAAACTCTTGATACAATTTCAAATCTTGTCTCAGCAAATATAATATTAGTATTTGACCATGAGGTTAAAGGCCCTTTATCATAAAATAAAATATACTTTGTTTTTTTAAACTTTGCTCAGTAAAGTACATTTAAGCTCAAGTAACATCACCTACATATACATAAACAAGTGGTAAACAAATGTATTAAAATAGAAATACTAAAACTATAGTGGTGCAACAGAATTTTTTGTAACTTGCACTGAATTCTATTTATACAAATGTTAGAAAGCATCAAACAGTTCCTTTTGACATGTTTATACATTTCCGGTTTTTTTGTAATAATATAGAATAAAATATGCTTTATATCACTGAATAGAAAATATGCTGGGTGAAGCAGATCTAGAAGATTTGTCTGAACCTATAAAAATCTCCATCCCAACAGAATACTGTTCAAAACATTACACATTTTATGGTTTGTAATTCTGTCACAATTGTGTGATTATTAAAATAATACAGTGTTCTTTGCCATAAGGCCATACTAAAATAAAAAGATTTAACCCAGCTACAAAAAAGTTCACTGAACTTAAATTAAAATACTTGTAAACATCTTTGCAATATGAAATATAATTTTTCAAGTCAAAAAAGAATAAAATACTTCAATCTGTATTAATGCAATTTCTCTTTAAAACTTTTAAACGTTTTTTAATATATAAGAGATATGTTACAGTTTTTTTGTCTTTTTTTTTTTACTTTAATAAAGCTGCAGTATCCTGGTTTCACAGGAACTCCTGGCCCTTCCACAAACATTCAAAAAGGATCCACTGTGTTCTGTAATAAGCGTCGTAGCAACCCACCCACAACGGGGAACACACTACACAGTTCGCACATCCCATAAGCACTATTATCATCTTCATAATAATTATTGTTCTTTTTTTCCCTACTTTAAGAAAATGGAAAACTTGTGGGGTTTTCTTCTTCTGGAAGCTTCCTATTACGTACAGTGTAAAAACTATCATTACTAGAATGTTGCCGTTCCTATTATTTATAGAGCATGCATTTCAGGTGGTTCGGAGGTTTCCCAGGCTACAGTACTCTTGATGCAGATATCCTGGTAAGTTCCCTTGTTTAAAAATTAAATTTAAAAAAATGAGCGGATACTACAGCTTTCCAAGCTCCTCTCTCGGATCTCAGAGTGTAAGGGGGGATGGGGAAGGTGGGGCACCAGGGAGCCTGCAGGCGCTGGGAATGAGGCTGCAGGGGGGGGGTGGTCCCCTTCCCCCGCTCGGTGCGCGCAGGCGCGCGCTGCCTTCAGGAAAAGATGCGGATGGCCTGAGTGACCGCGGTGTGGCAGACGGGGCACTCAGGCTCGCTCTTCTCGCAGATGCGGTTGGCGCACTCCATGCAGAAGAGGTTGTGGCCACAGGGCACCAGCGCAGCGATCACTTCGCTCTCGAAACACACGGAGCAGTCGCGGCTGCCCTTGCGCCGCAGCCCAGAGGAAGAGGATGACGAGCTGGAGGAGGAACTGGACGACGAGGAGGAGCCCGACGTGTCCGACGGCTGCAAGCCAGGCAGCTGCGCCCCCAGCCCGTTGGTATAAGCGGCGTAGGCCAGACCTCCTCCACCTGGGTCGCTGCGCACCCGGCGAGCCAGGTGGTGCTCGCTAGCCCCAGGGGCCATGTGCAAGGGCGGGGACAGGCGCGGGCAGCTGGTGCCCGGGTGCAGCCGGCGGTGCACGAGCAGCCCCAGGTTGGTGTTGGAGGGCGCGCTGGCGCCGCCCCCGGGAAAGACCACGGATGAAGACGAAGCAGAGGAAGACGCAGAGGAAGAGCAGGAGGAGGACACCGGAGCTGCAGGTCCGCCTCCTGGAGACCGCTCGAACTGGGCCCAGAGAAGCGGCGCCCCGGGCGGGGGCGCGGGAGCTGGGTCGAAGGTGGGCTGCAGCTCCGGACAGCCGTCGGGAGACGGCACCGAGGCCTCCCCGGCTGTGAAGGTGTACCCATTGCCATTGTTGTTGTTTCCGTTGTGGGGGAAGCTGAGCGCCGGGCTCGGGGGGCTGTAGTCCGCCAAGCGTGGGGTGGCGGCGGCGCTGCCGCTGGTTCCGCCGCCAAAGTAAGAGTCTGTGGAAGCGCTGCCCAGAGAGCTGGAGCTGTCGTTGCGGTAACTGGAGAAAGGCTTGCGGCCAGGGGTGGGCGTGATGCTGGGAGTGGGCTTGCTCCAGAGGCTGCCGGGGCCGGACCGCCGGACCCGCCGGACCCGTGATGCAGGTCGAAGCCCACGTCGGTGCCATTGGCGTGGAAGTCATTCTCGTCCGTGAGCTCGATGATGCCGCCGGTGCGAAGGGCAATGTGCGCCTCGATCTCCTCGCGAGCCCGGTCTACGTTCTCCGGCATGCCGGTCACCTCGAACACCGGCTCCTTGTCGCGGCTGGGCGTCACGATGTAGGTGTGCGTCTGCTGCTGGATGCGCTTGATCGTGGCGCCCTTGGGCCCCACCACGAGGCCCACCACGCGGTAGGGCACCCGCACTTGGATGGTGGTCTGCCCGGGCAGGTTGGGCGGCCCGGGCACCGCGCCGTTGAGTGCCGTGTTCTTGTTCCGCGAGGCGCGAATCATGGAGAAGTGCTCGGCGGCAGAGATGATCTCCCTCCGAGCCATGGCCACATCCTCCTTCCTGCCCGTCACAACAAAGACAGGCTCCTCCCCACGAACTGGGGTCTTGATGTAAGTGTTGGTCTTCGCCCGCAGCGCTTTGATTTTACAACCTGAGAGCCAGGGTGCGGGGGAGGGAGTAGGAGAGAGAGACAGACACGCCCATTATCCCGGGATCACCGCGGAGAGCAGGGCAGCCCGCGTCCAGGGCTGCGGGATGGCAGGACGCGCGGCGAGTGGAAAGGGGGCGGCGCCCTCACTGACCCCCAGCCGCGCCACGGGTTCCACCCGCGAAGCGCTCGAGGAACAACAGCCCATTGGCTGCCCGGCCCTTCCCCAGTGACTGCAGTCGTCCCGAGCCAAACCGAGAATCCCAGAAAAGTCATCTGGGAGATGCCTCTGGGATCCAGAGGGGCCCGCGGTCTGCCCCGAAGACCGCCACAGCCGCGATCCCTCAGCGACGGGGGACGGGTGGTGGGGGTGGGGGCAGTCCCGGGACCCATTGTTCCTCCTCTGGGCTCCATTCCGCTTTGCAGAAATCCAGAATCCTCCTCCCATCCGATGCTCACTCCTCCTCCCTCCCTCCCAAAGGACTGATCAAAGGTCCCCTCCCCCAAGCATCTTCTATTTAAATTATCTTTCCCGGGGTAGACTGGGTGGGGGGCGTTAGGGGAGAAGGCAGTGATTTTAGCTGAAGAAAGTGCATCCTGCCGTGGCCACCGCGCAGGTCAGGGACGCAGCCTGCCTGCACTTTCTTTGTCTGGGGCGCCGGCCCATCGCGCGGCTCTACCTCCCTCCCAAGGCTCCCTAGCGCCGCGGAGCCCGGAGCCCGTTCCAGCACACACCCTCCTCGCAAGGCGGCGGCCCGAGACCCCACACTGCCCCCAGCTCTCCATCCCTGCCGAACCCACCTTGTCGCCCCACGATCTCGGCAACATGCTCCGAACTGGGCACCGGCACGCACTCGGTCATGTTCACGCTCTTCTTGCGCGGCTCGCTGTCGTACAGAGAGGCGCCCTCGTCACTGTCCAGCCCCAGCAAGGAGAGCTGGTCGAGCGCGAGCTGCAGGGCTCTTTGGTCATCCAGGGTCTCTCCCCCGCCGCCGCC